ATTTACTACACTGGTAAGTCCGAAATATTTTCATATATAGTTCCTACCTATTTATCAGAGCATTTTATCAAGTTTGTCATTCAAGTGGCTTACAGTACTTTGAAAGAATTATTCTTTTTGAATAGTGTTATTAAAAATTAGACTACTGTGAATTTGCATTCATGACAGAAAATGGTACCTGAAAATGTATCTTACTACTGACGTCTACATCACTAGGTCTTCTCTCATCCAGTGTATTAATAATATTAAATAATATTGTTGTTGGTAGCAGTGGTATTAGTATTTTCTCTGCACTTAAAACTGTATTATTATGTTTTTACCATTTCGTTCTTAACTAATTTTATTTTGTGATAGCATCATAAATGCCCTGAAATCAGACTGAAATTATGGAATTAAACTATGTTAAAAGGAAACTTTATCCAGTTGTTTAGGTATCTGAGCCAGGAATAATGAGTTTGCTGTTTCCCTGCCAAAGTATTATTTTTAAGTTACCTGCCAGAGGCAGCATTTTTGATTATATTGAACAATCTTTAATGAATGAATTTAAACAGTATATATTTAAAGAAAGACGAGAGCCTGTTTTTAAACAAAACACACACACACACACACACACACAAGCAATATCACACAAGTAGCAGTGCGATATGACTGTATATCGGCACGGCTGTGATTCAGCCATAGGTAATCACAGTGTGCCGATATACAGCCATATCTCAGTCATTCGGCCATACGGCATGAGTGTGTAAATACATAAGAAACAACAACGGAGTGTCTTTAAAAACCCTCTTTTGTGCAGAACTACAAAATATAAACTATAAAAAAAATATATATCTCATGTTTATCCACTTTAGAGACATCAGAGCCAGCGACAAATTCCAGAAGATCTGGCCAAGGTGAGGCTGCTCTCGGCGGGTTCTTGAGCGCTGAACGGCCGCTGATGCCCTGGAGCTCACGTCTCCGAAAACGTTGAAGCAAATTTTCAAATAGACATTATCTTTATTAACAAACCACATATTTGAATCCTAAAAAAGTACAGTCTCACCTAAAAAAAAAAAAAAGTTTAAAGTTTAGAATCAAAAAATTTTCTTTTCATCCTGCAAGGAAGTTTTGAGTTCTTTGCGCGACAGTATGTTTTCAAAGTAGTCTGAACTCTTATCTACTGTGTTAAGATTTAAGGAAATGTTGATTCCTAATGATATGTCCCCTATAACGAATCAACAGATTTGTGAAATACAAAAGCAAACATTAGCGGCCAATTTTGATTTTGAAGTAGCTATTAACTTAATGATAATGTGCCCTTGTTGTTGTCAGCAGTGTGCTCCCAGGTCTTTGTTTGTCAAGTTAATGATCGTTAATGAGAGCGTTAAGCCTCTCTCACTTGAATTAATTAAAACATAATCCTTGTGATTGTGACAATCTCATGCTATGACGATGGCACTGTGTCTGACAAGTGCTTGTTTGTGCACCCATGCTAATAAAGCTCTTGTTCGGAGAGAAGTGCTTAGAGCATCGTTTTCTCATTTGAAGTTGCATGGTCATTAAGATGTTTGAAGTAATTAAGTAATTGTTTTGCAATTTGTTTTGTTCCATTACAAGTGGTACAGAGTTTGTGTGTTTTTAAGATAAACCGATATCAAGTGTGAAACCTGCAGTACTCAAAAGTGATTTGTTTTGTGTAATGTCAGGTCTACTGCCCCACTTACTATTATGCAAAGTAGTTTTTGTGTTTTCACATTACTTAAAAAGAGAAGATTAAGGTACTACTGAATTCATATAGGAGCACAAATAACATTTCTGTAAGTCACATGAGCATTGGCACCGACTTTTTTCTAGGGATATACAGTATTAATCTCAAGCCAAAACCTAGATCACAAATATATTATAGGGAATTAGGGATTTATTTTACATCTGCATTCAATGTCCGAAAATACCAACAGGATTTTAAGTCTTTGATTTAGGCCAGATAAGTTTAGCAAAATCAAGGCTGCTGTTGAATGGAAGCTTATCCTCTAAACATCAGTTAATTCCTTCAGCTCTCTGATGGCTTCTTGTAACATTTTCTGCCATTGCAAATTTATTCAGTTCTGTGAAATCTTTCAGGATCAACATTAAGGCTTATTTCCACAGATCATGTCCTCAAACACATCAACACACAACATACATTTACTTGTTGAGTGGTTTGCTCCAGTTTAGTTCTGATGGTTTACTGTGGTGAATTTTAGTTCAAACGAGTTCTAACCAATTTTCACGTGAACCTTTCTGAGCCTCTAGCATCACAAAATTGAATTGTAAAGACTATTATATGACTGCCAACCAGAAGCGGACAGTAACTAAGTACATTTACTTGAGTATTGTATTTAAGTACACTTTTTGAGTATCTGTACTTTACTTGTGTATTATTTTTTCTGGGAACTTATGACTTTAACTTCACTACATTTGAAAGACAAATATTGTACTTTTCACTCCACTACATTTCTATCAAGGTCCTCAAAGTAGAAAGTCGTTACTATGCAGCAGCTTTGAAAGTCAGTAGGTGATTTTTTTCTTCTCTAAAAACTGTCTTTTTTTTAGACAGTTTATCAGTAATCACTCTTGGGGCTACACGAAGTGATTTCCCAGCATTTTTTGAGCACTGACCAGTTCCAAATGTGATATTTATTTACAACAATTCAATAATAAG